GTGTATTTTGGGTTCCCCCGCAGCGTGTGATGGTGGGACGATGCCGCGCTCTCCGGCCTCGAGCGAGGAGGAGGAGGGGGGTCGGGGCTCCGAGTACCCCGAGGGGGATTCGGACTCCGGGAGCTCCCGGGAGGGGCCCCCGGGGGGGGGATCGGGCTCCAACCCCGGCCCCCCCCGAGGAGCCGCCCGGGGACCCCCCCGGCCCCCCCCGGCCCCCGAGGACGCCCATTTCAGCATGATGGTCTTCAGGATCGGCATCCCAGACCTGCACCAGACGGTGAGCGCGGAAAACACCCGGAAATGGGGGATATGCACCCGGAAATGGGGAGAAATCAGCCGGAAATTGGGGGGATACACCCGGAAATTGGGGGAAATCAGCCAGAAATGGGGGGAAATGCATCAAAAATGGGGGAAATGCATCAATAATGGGGCGGAAATCACCCGGAAATGGGGAGGAAATCAGCCGGAAATGGGGGGAAATCAGCCGGAAATGGGGGAAATACACCCGGAAATGGGGGGAAATCAGCCGGAAATGGGGGAAATGCATCAAAAATGGGGGGAAATGCATCAAAAATGGGGGAAATGCATAAAAAATGGGGAGGAAAACACCCGGAAATGGGGGGGAAATCAGCCGGAAATGGGGGGGATCAGCCGGAAATGGGGGGGGATCAGCCGGAAATGGGGGGAAATACATTAAAAAATGGGGGAAAACCACACGGAAATGGGGGAAATGCATCAAAAAATGGGGGGTAAATGCACAAAAAAATGAGGGAAATAACTCAAAAGAGGGTGGAAATACACTAAAAAATGGGGAAAATAGACAAAAAAAAGGGGAAAATACACTAAAAAGGGGGGGAATAACTTAAAAATGAGGGAAATAGCTCAAAATTGGGAGAAAATATCCCCCCAAAAATTGGGGAAAATACAGCAAAATGGGGAAAATACACCAAAAAATGCGGAAAATTCACAAAATAATTGGGAAAATTCAGAAAAAAAGTGCGGGAAATACTCCAAAAATTGGAGGAAATACACCAAAAATGGGGGGAAATGCACAAAAAAGGTGGGAAATGCGCAAAAAATAGGAGGAAATATAGCAAAAATGGGGAAAATACATGAAAAATGGGAGGAAATAACACAAAAAGGGGGAAAATAGCCCAAAAATTGGAAAAATACACCAAAACTGGAGGGAAATAACTTAAAAATTGGGGAAATAACTCAAAAATGGAGAAACTATCTTAAAGATGGCAGAAATAACTCCAAAATGGGGGAAATACACAAAAAATGGGGGGAAATAACTGAAAAGGAGGGGAAATACCTCAAAAATGGGGGAAATATCCCCAAAATGGGGAAAACACAGCAAAAAAAGGGGGGGAATACACCCAAAAAAAAGTGGAAAATTCATAAAAAATGGGGAAAATTCACAAAAAATGGGGAAAATACACCAAAAAAATAGGGAAAATTCACAAGAAATTGATAAAATACACAAAAAACATGGGGAAAATTCTCAAAAAATGGGGAAAATACACCAAAAATTGGGAAAATTCACAAAAAATGGGGAAAATACAAGAAAAATTGGGAAAATTCACAAAAAATGGGGAAAATACACCCAAAATATGGGGAAAATTCACCCAAAATGCATAAAAATACACAAAAAAATGGGCAAAATTCACAAGAACAGAATCAAATACACCCAAAAAATTGGAAAATTCCCAAAAAAATGGGGAAAATTCACAAAAATGGATAAAATACACCAAAAAATGGGGAAAATTCACAAAAACGGATAAAATACACCAAAAAAACCGGGGAAAATTCACCAAAAATTGGGGAAATTCACCAAAAATGGGGGAATTATCCCCAAATCTCCCCCCCCAGAAGTGCCTGCGGTTCGACCCGGGCGCGGCCGTGTGGGCGGCGAAGCAGCAGCTGCTCTGTGCCCTCACCGAGGGGCTCCACGACGGCCTCAACTACGGCCTCTTCCAACCCGCCGCCGCCGGCCGCGACGCCAAGTTCCTGGACGAGGAGCGGCCGCTGCGGGATTACCCCCAGAGCTTCGACCAGGGCGTGCCCTACCTCGAGGTGGGCGGGGCCGGGG